TTTTGAATTTCTGGAGATTCTCAAGAAAAGGAAAAAGGCCATCGTAGTGGCAAGCCATAATGGCCGATAATTTCGAGATTCATTTCAGGAACCCTTTTTCCGATTGAAGATCGGTTATTGTTTTCTTCTCTATTCTCAGGTAAGCTATCTGCATCATTCAATTACTCTATTCCAATTTGTAGTTAATTTTTTTTTGCCTTCTATGTATCGCTTCCATCAGTTTTGTTTTCCTTGTCCACACAACCTTCGTCTCACTCGTGTTTGCCGAATCTTCTTCTTCCGGTGATTGTTTTGGCATAGCTTTTGTTTTGGGGAAAACCCATTTGATAATTGTCTCTGTAACGTCGGAGATGTTGTTCTATAGAGCGGATCGTGATTGTTGTTTCTGTCGGGGAAAACAAGGATCGTCGATGTGGGTTTGAATCGTAGGTGGGATTTTTGTAGTTTTCAATCTCGGAATCGAGATTTGTAGCCGAATTTTTGTGTGCCCTTGTTGCTGCATGTACATAAGTTTGTATATAGGTGTGTAGATACACCAGCCACGTTAATCTTTCCGTTCAAAATGAGGTTCGAATCTGAGATAGCATAACCTCCGAAGTTGATTCCATTATCGTACTAGCTAAAGCTCTGTAAGTGCGATGATTATCATCAATTTCCTAAAATTTCTATGAGGAGTTTATGTGCCAATCCATGTGCTCTTTTTTCTTGATGCTTGTTGTTACTTTTGATGAGAAAATGAGACATGGAACCCATTGGCTTTTGTTGAATGGTAATGCAGTAGCCTGTATAGGAGTTTTATCGCCTAATCTTGGTAACGATCTTTCGATTTCCATGTTGAAGGTGAAGGTAGCCGAACAACTTATTCAGTAAAATGGAGGCTCATCAAGAACGCAGAAAACGAGTTGCTTTCGTACTGATTGATGGTTTAGGAGACATATCTATACCGAAATTAGGCGGTAAAACTCCTCTACAGGCAGCTAACATTCCTAGTTTGGATGCTATTGCATCTGCCGGAATCAATGGTTTAATGGATCCAGTTGAAGTCGGGTTGGGTTGCGGAAGTGACACAGCTCATCTTTCTCTGTTGGGTTATGACCCGAGAGTGTATTACCGGGGAAGAGGTGCTTTCGAGTCTATGGGTGCTGGATTGGCTATGTCACCCGGCGATATAGCTTTCAAAGTGATTCATCGTCATCTCTTGAAAAAAGCGATCATCATTCAACTTTTCCCCGTCATTTTAGTTCTTTCCATATTTGATATTGTAAGTAATCTTTTCTCCAGTCAAACTTTGCAACATTGGATGAGAAATCCGGAACAGTGGTCAGTAGGAGGGCTGACCGGCATTTTGAAGAAGAAGGGCCAATTCTTTGTGCAGCACTTGATGGAATGAAGCTCCCGTCTTTCCCCGAGTATGAAGTGCGGGTCAGGTACAAATACATTCATCATCCTTCTCATCAGTTTCTACGATTTCTCGTCTTTTCTAAAATCTTTCCATGGAATTCAAAGAATATTAGATTTAATCACACCATATTCTGATTAGTTTGCGTTCTGCCAAACCGTTATTTTCTGCAGATATGCGACTGAGCACAGATGTGGAGTGGTTGTGAAAGGTCCAAAACTTAGCGGAAATATCTCGGGAACAGACCCGCTGAAAGATAACCGTTTGCTTCTTGAAGCTAAAGCCTTGGATAATACAGAAGAAGCCCATCACACTGCTAAAGTCATTAACGAATTATCCCGGGAGATATCACGGATTCTAGTTTCTCACCCAGTTAATGCAAAACGAGTTGCGGAAGGGAAGAATATCGCCAATGTTGTCCTTCTACGAGGCTGTGGCATACGAATCGAGGTCCATGGTTAAAAGTTTACGGCTTTTCTATCAAATGCTTCAACCAATCTACTTATTCCGGTTACATTGACTCGATTTCATTTAAAGGGCATGCCTAGATTTCTTATGCTTTTCACAGTAGAATCAAAGCAAGAGGCAACATCAGTTGATTTCTATATAATTCACGTCTACCCTTTTACGGTTTCTCTATCATCCGAATGTACAACTAATCATTGAATTTATCCGCTGCCATTGCTGAATTTCAGGTCCCTCCATTTCAGAAGAAGCACTGTTTGCGGCCGTGCATGGTAGCTCCTACGAAAATCATCGCTGGATTGGGATTATCTCTCGGCATCGACATTCTAGAAGCTCCCGGAGCCACGGGAGATTACCGAACGCTTCTCACTTCCAAAGCAATTGCCATTGCCAATGCACTCTCGGCTCCTTCGAATAAGTGCCCGAACGTCTTTGTACCGGGTGAGGATGAACATAAACCGGGAAGATCAGACGGCTATGATTTCGGTTTCCTTCACATAAAGGTGAACACTTTATATTCTCTCAGCACACAAATATGAATACCCCATCAGATGTTTCTCTTAAAGTTTCGGAATCTTTCAGGCCATAGATGACGCGGGTCACGACAAGGCGACATTGTTCAAAGTTAGAGGGTTGGAAGCTGTCGATAAGGCGATACTTCAGCTCGGTAAGCTTCTATGGAAGGTGGAATCAGAATCTTCCGGAATGTTCGAGTATTTCCTGTGCGTGACCGGTGACCATTCTACACCCGTCGAGTACGGTGACCACAGCTTCGAAACCGTCCCGTTCACAATCTGCAGGCTAAGAGACTTCGTTGGAGCGGTCGGGGGCGAGAATGCACTTCTTAAAACATCGTTGGACCCGTTTCCTCTTCCGACAGTGGCGGATTCCGGGGAAGACATGGCCGGAGAAGAGGGAAACAGTGTAAGGAGACAAGTCGAAGCTTTTGGTGGAGATTCGGTTTCTGAGTTCAACGAAATTGCGGCTGCAAGAGGATGTCTCGGTCGTTTTCCCGGTGGTGAAATGATGGGTGTTATCAAGAAGTTTCTTGAGCTAAATGTATGATTTCGGAGAAAATTTTGGATTTTTTTTCTTGGATAAAGAAAATATTTCGGGGATGAGGAATTGATGTCGGATTTTCCCAATAAGTTGTATTTTATTTGAACAAATGCATCGCATGATAATATGATATCTTTTTTTTTAAATCATTTTAAAAGAAAATATTGTGAATTTTGGGAGAATGGAATATAACCAATCTAAATAGAAATTCATATAGTTTGAGTATAAAATGAATATATATTTAGCCATTTTTCTTTAGTTATAACGTGTGGTGAAAAATAAATTATTCCACCAATGTATATATACACACCCAAGAGAGGTGTTGAGGAGATTTTTTTTTTTTGTAAAAAAAACTTAAATCTAGATTAAATTTATAATTTAATTAAAAAATCTGTAAAGATAATTCTATCAATCTCAAATATCATTAATTGCTGCTATAAAAGTAAACTATATATTATTAGATTTTTAGTTGATATTTTAATTAAAATTATAGATATAAATATAAGAGATTCATCTTGGAAAAAAGTGCATGAGATAAATCTTCGACATAATCTAAATATCGACATTCACAAAAATAAAAATTATTTAAACAATGTTCCTACAAAAAAACAAATCACTACTCCATTCTGTAAATTCAAAAACTTAAAGGATTTCGTTTGTAATAAATATACAAACAAAAAACAAAAACATAAAGTGTAATAAAATCAGAACTATAATAAAAACAATATTTCGCATGTTACATATAGTCATTGCTATGACACTTTACTTTCCTATACAAAGTGGAAGTATGATTGATACTTATCAAAAACATTTTTTAAAAAAAATTATCTTGGGACTTCCAATTTTTTTTTTATCTCTTTGGACAAATAATATACGAATCTTTCAACTTTTGTTCCTTTAAGAATTTAATGCGTCATACTTATGTGGACGTTTCTCCTTTTATCCTCTTTTATTTTTTTTTCCTCCACTGACGGAACTTAATTTTGTAACGTTAGCTTCACGATATTATAATATTTAATTAATGATTAGAAGAAATTAATTGATTTTTTATGATTTAAAAATTTACTTAAGTGGAATTTATATGAAAATAAATAAAATGCTTGTGGTAATGGTTCTCTCTTTTTCCTTTACATCCTCTTTTCTTTTTACGGCCAACTCAAATTACATACCTTTCCCCTCCACTACCAAAATTCTTACAAAGAAACCCCACTATTTTTAAAATAGTCATTTTCACCCCCAAAAACGTCACAATTCCTTGGCGAACTAGAAAAAACCCAAAACCCATCACATAAATTCTCAAATCTCATCATCATTCTCAATCATAGAAACCAAACTAACACACTTGATCTCTACAAATGTATGTGACGAGGCCGTTATCGTTGTACAGAAAGTCTCCGACCTCTCTCTCTGAAGAACCACCGGAAGGTCCGTTTTCCGGCGTTCTCGTGATCACAGACGAAGAAGCAGAAGCGGAGGACACTTTCTGTTTCGGGATCTGCAAGAGGACAAGAGTCAAGAAGTTTCCGTTTCCTCAGGACAAGATCTTATCGGTCGTTCACACCGACAACTCGAGTTACAGAGAGAGTTCTGTCACAAAGGTGCTGTTTTTGCCCGTTCTTGATCAGCCCCTGTCTTCTAATCGGTACTATGTCATCCACGCCAAAGGCAGACATAAAGGGTAAGAGCTGAAATCGAATTTCTCTTCTTCTTTCCTGTCGAAAAATCGATCGAGTTTATGGAACGTGCTTTCTCTCTCTGCTGGTTGTCTCTGTTTCTTCTCTATAAGAACAGAGTTTTCGATTTCCTTTATAATTGAGCTTGAATTCCACCGTCTATTCTCCGTTCTATTCGATTGATTTCTGTTTCTTTGTGTTCATTTTCAAGAAATTCTGGAGTTCAGTTCTTGATCACCGTTTACCAGATTTAAGATTTTGAGCAGTTACCTGTTTCGGTATCTGGTTAATCTTTGATTGTTTTTTCTGCAGAAAAGCTTGTGTCTGCTTTATGGAGATAGACAAGGGAATATGTTGTCTTCCTGGTATCTTACAGGACAAGAAGCCTAAACCTTTGGATCCAAGAAACATATACCACACGGTAAAGATCCATCGCCATCACGGGCACACGTTCTTCGCCAAATCCATTGCTCCCGGAAGTAAGCCTCCTTCCTTTCTCAAGAAGAAAGGTTGGGAGCTCCAGACCTCGAGGAGCCTGTATCCATGGCGGCTCAGAGAAGCCCTAGGCCTAGACGAGGATCTCAGAAACCGTCTTCCCGGTTTCGATTTCTCGGTCTCGACGATACGGTCGGGGAGTGTGATCGTAGGGGAATGGTACTGCCCGTTCGTGTTCGTGAGGGAGCCTTGCAGGCCAAGGCACCAGATGAGGAAATCGGCATTCTACAAGATGACACTGTCTCAGTATTGGGAACGCATCTACCAACGCGACAACACAGACATATCAAACAACGAGAACACGAATGAGAACGACGCGCAAGTGGTGAACGTAGACGTTAACGTGGAGAGGGAGGCGAGTTATGTGATGGGAATGGAAGCAGTGAGAGGCGAGAAAGAAGGGGTTGGAGGGTTTTATTGGTACAGCATTATCCCGAAAACCTCAGAGGCGAGGAGGATGATGAGGAAGAGGAGGAGGATGGGATTAGGGTTAGGGTTAAGCTTTGCGGTGGTGGAGAGGATGAAGAGGGTGGAGGAGGAAGGAGGGTTTGTGGGAGGAAGAGGGAGGATGGTGAATATAAAGAGAGAGGAGAAAATTAGGGTTTGTAGAAGTGAGAATGGTGAGAGTGACAGTAGAAACAGATGGAGAAGATTTGGGTGTTATGTGTTGGTGGAGAGCTTTGGGCTGAGGAGAGCAGATGGAACGTTGCTGCTTAAATGTGTTTTCAGACATTCTCATAGAGTTAGATGCAAGTGGGAGTGACTTTGGTTTCTGTTCTTTTGAAAATATTTATTACTTTGTGTAATGATATCATTATCCATGGTTCCGTATATTCAGGTGTTGTTGTTTTTCAACAAAAAAAAAAACAGTTAGAATAGTTTATTCAAACATATATATATATATGTATGTATATATTTCTTTCTAATGACGATGTCATTAATGAAGTTTCTATATTTTTTACATTTTGTTTATATACTTATGGAATCTTTATTATTTATAAACACGTGTTTACAAAGCAAAAATAACTCAACTACATCCTACATTTTTTTAATAATACTAGCTTATATTTCAGAGGGGAAAATCAAGATTAAATATTTTTTTTTTTTTTATATATATATATATATATATATTCCGTCGTAGGGTCACAACTTAAAATTCATAAGCGAAACAACGAGAATTCGGATACGTGAAATCCGAAGAGAGCTCTCGCCCGCCATTATCACCCGTTCGAATTTCCCACCGCCATTGAAGGAGACGGTAAAGCACGAGTACCCACTGCGTGTAATCCAACAATTTCCGGCTCTATTGTTTACCCACTTCGTTTTCTTTTCTTCTTTTTATCTCGCTGAAGGAGACGGACTTCTGCCTTGTGAAGCACGTGGCTATGGCGGTTGAGAGCGAGAGAGAGGTCAGGCGCACCACCAATCCTGGTGTTAGGGTTGTCGGAGGAAGGATCTACGACTCTAGCAAGGGGAAGACTTGTCATCAGGTGAAGATAGAGAGCGATCTCTGTATGTGTGTGTGTTTTTGTCTCGTGGATTATAGGGAGATCATTTTCTCGTGGTTTCTGTTCCGATCGCTTAGAATTTCGTTGCGATGGCACGTGGGTACGATGAAGAATCTGGGTTTGTCTTTTCTTTTACCTTGTCGAGTGGAGATCGTTGCTTGAAAGTTGACGCTCGATCAAGTTTTCTTGAGTTGCTCATTCTCTCGGATATTGTGTTTGTTTGATTGGAAAATACGAGAAAATGAAGGGGAGAACCCTAGGCATTCTTTTCAACAAAGAAAATGGGGGATTTTGATCCTTGTTTCGTCGGAAACTGCTATCAAATTGGGTTCCTTGAAATATGAAAATTATGGAACCCTGTTTGGTTGATGAGAAAATTCTGTTCAATTAAGCAACTGTGTTATGCCAGTGTTTAGTTAGCTCTTGTTTTTCATGATAGTGATGATCCCTGAGTTATCATGTTTACTTGATCTGTGAGAATCTATGGGGAAAAGATTTGCCTTTTAGATTCTGTTCTTTACCAGTGTGGAACTGTAACGCCAAGGAAAACTAACACCCTTTAGGGCTGTTGTCGAAATTCAAAGTTGCCATGCATGATATTTGATCACAGTAACTGTTTTGTTCCTTCTTGAAGATGTTTCTGATTGCATGATGGGAAGATTTTACCAATAATTACACGTTGCAGTGTCGCCAAAAGACGATGGATTTCGCTGCGTTTTGCACGGTCATGAAGAAGAATAAGCCATGTCCGATCAAGTACTGTCACAAGTGTTTGATGAACAGGTTTGCTTTGGTATCCTTTTGTTTTGTTACATCGTTTCGAAACATGTATAACTAAGTTATATCTGCTTCTGATTCAAATTTAGGTACGGGGAGAAAGCGGAAGAGGTGGCGTTATTGGAGGAGTGGACGTGCCCGAAGTGTAGAGGAATTTGCAATTGCAGTTTCTGCATGTAATACTAATCTATACAACGTTTGTTGAGCTTATGATATGCTATGTGTTGAACGCTGTTGGTTGACGTATCTTTTCTTCTTTACAGGAAGAAGAGAGGACATCAGCCTACCGGAATATTGGTGCACACAGCCAAAGCTACCGGGTTTTCTTCTGTCTCAGAACTTCTGCACGTTAAGGGTCCTGAGAATTTCTGTTATCATCGGTCTGCAAAGCCGGTAGGTGCTTTCCCAAAGAAGTCGGTCGTGATAGTTTTCTTCAGAATGCTTTCTTACCTTTTTTGTTTCTGTGGCCATGCATTGTTGCAGGAAAATCTTGTCACTGCACCTAGAAAGCCTGGGAGAGAAAATGCCATTGAAGGAAAATGTGATTTGCTGAACGGGGAACCACATGTCAATGGTGATGAAAATGCTGGAGACGAGAGTAGTCCAAACATGATCAAGATTTCTGCCGACATATCCGAGCATGTTTCTGAGAAAGTATCTGAAGAAGGAACAGATCAAGGTGAGAATTCTTAAGGCTTGTGTTTTAAAGCATGGCGTTTTTGTGCTCTGTTAAAAAGAGATTAACATAGAAGATGATGCAGAGGTTGCTAAGGTTGTCGAGAACAATAACGTAGAGGGTATGATCAAGAACCCTAGAGCTACTCTCAAACTGAAGAAGTGTGACGTTGAGCACAAGAACGAGGACTACTTGTTCCATGCCCAACTGCCCGAGGGCATTAGCTCAATTTCTATCTCTGGTATTGACCTACCCCCAGAACATGTTGGGCATGTATTGCAGTTTTTGGAATTCTGTTCAGCCTTTGGACAGGTATGGTTATATTCATCTGTTTCCTCTGCAGTTAACAATTAATGGATGTTTCATATGGAAGTTTTTACGTTCTAGCTAACACTTACAAGAAACAATCAAGTTGCTCGGGCCGTATGTTTATGGATGATTACTTGAATTTGTCTAAAAGCGAACATAATCCCGACAATAAATGTTATCCCTTGTATGCTTCAATTGCTTACCATGTTTCTTTGACTAATCATTCTAGCTTGCCTGTTTGGACTTTCCTTCTAGGTGCTTGGTTTGAGGGAAGGACAAGGCGAATGTGTGGTGCGTGAACTGTTAAACGGGCGAGACAAGAGGGGACAAGAGTGTTCCATGCTAATTCAGATGATCATCCAATTGTTGTGTGTGATATTAGCGGATAGAGGAGAAAAGTATGTGTTTATTCCTCCTGGAAGGTTATAATTTTACTTTTACTTTTGTGTTCATTCGATTTACTTGCATTTTTTTTATGATTTAGGTCTCCTTCCTTCACCCCAGCCGATGAAATTTGGTTCAAAGCTTTGGGAGAATGTGTTTCAAAGTCAGGTCTACTGGATGAATTCCCCCCCGAGCTGTTTGAAAAAGGCGTTGCAGAGTACGAGAACCTGGATACATCGAAAAAGCTTAAGCTCTTGAACTTTTTATGCGATGAAACCCTCTGCACAACGTATGTAATAAACGTATATGTGAAGATTTCAGCTTTTTTCTTGATTTCAAGGTGCTCGAATGCATGGAGTTTACGATCTTGTGTTCTTTATCTGTTGAAAACAATAGGGTGATGAGGAATTGGATTGACAAGCAAAATCTGGATTATGATGAGAGGAAGAGAGGAGCAAGGGAAAAGGTTGCAGCAGCTAAAGAAAAGGTAACATTTTGATCAATGCTTACGACATGCCAATTATGTATAAGCATATTATGGGTCTCAACCTTCCTTTTTCTTCTTTTAGGAGAAACAATTGAAGCAGAAGCTGCAAGATGAGGTGGCAACAGCCATCATGGCAGAATCCAGGGATCCATTATCGATTTCAGAGCATGAGGCTATCGTATCTCGAATCAAAGCTGAAGTTAAAGAAGCTCACGCCGAGACGGTGGAGGCAATGGGCATGCGTCCTAAAAGTACGTCGGGTTCTCTTTGATCATCTCATTTGCTAAATAAATAACCCGGCACTTGACTTAGATCTTTGTTGAACTTGATAATACCAGCCATCCTCTTCTTTTCGAATGTGAAATATGCATGGAGGTACATATATACGGTCCTAGTCATGTGGAAGATGTCTGAGCCATACTGATATGCTCCTAGATTGTTGGATTTTCGTGTTGAGTTTGGCAAATTAGTGAATAACTGGGCATAGAGCTCGTTAGAGATTTATGATGTTTTTGAACCCACATAGTTGCTTCTGTAGCTATCTTGGCAGCGGCTCTCCTTTAGAGAGAGCCATGCATTATGAATAAGCATCATGTTGTTGATTAGAAAATTGAGGGGGGATTGAATACTACTTCCAATTGTATCTCGGCTACCAAACATGGTAAAAGTTTAGAGATCTTCCTATCCTTTTTTTGAACGATAGGCTTGATCGCGAATCTATCACATGCAAACGTGTTTTCTGCGCTTGACTCTCATCTTATGGTTGTTGCAGAGAGGAAAAGAAGTGATGCTCTTAGGACCGACCCTTTCATGTTGGATGAGAATGGCCGTGTTTTCTGGAGATTAACGTCCTACACCGAGGAGCCTAAGCTTTTGCTTCAAGGTTTTGTGAAAATTTTCTGTTCCGTAGCATTCATGTATGTGCGATACATATATATAATTCACGCTCTTTAGCTTCTAATATATTTCCTCTATATGCACCACAGATGTTGGATCCTGGGGTGAAGTTTGTCCTCACGAAAATTGGGTTACCTTTAAGCCTGAGCAGCAACCAGAGATAGAGAAATACCTCTCTTGCCTAAGGTGAGCCATTTCTCTACACTTAACTGTACTTCAACTCTTACATTATGCTTAGAAGTGCAAAAACAACCTCGATTCAATCAGACATGGTTATGGGAAAGATCTTCGGGTTTTAGTTGCATAGATTGAAGTAATCTGATCCAAAGTTTTAACCTTTTCATCACCCCTGCCTCAACCCTCCATGGTGGAAAGAATCTTGTGATCGGCGCTTTAGTTGGAATTCCATACACAGAATCCTTGAGATTACGATCAAAGAACTTAATGGCCTGCAAACTAATCATATTCTCTGTGTTTTGTAGGATGAAACAGAAGCGCCGTGCACAGACGTATGCTAATAATGTAGCATCTGTTTCTATCCAAGGAACCGAAACAGAAGCAAACCCTCAAGTCCCCTGATAATGTTGTACCCTATATTCTCAAGACTGTTCCATATTGTTTATGATCGAAACCGAGGTAAAGACACTCACATCTTTGAATGTTGCTTAGCTCGGGTTTCGGTTCAGGTTGCTACCGGATGACCCACATTTTCAAAAGACATCTGGTAGCTTTTCTTTTTATAAACCATAAGCCTATACAGATTTCGGGTTTTAAGATATTGAAATCTTGAGTGAGGCCAGTGAAATTTTTTGTTGGTGGCTCATCAAGGATGTCTGAACATTCAACAGATTCTCCTTTCCTTTTATAGTGAATGCTTTGCTTCAATACTTGATTTTGTTCGTGTCCTGATGGTCTTGCCGGTATGGTTTGGTTTAGTTTTTATTTAAATTAATTGAAAACCAAACCGAGTTATTGGTTAAGTGAAAGTTAATGGGGAGTTCGTATCTTCATTGATTTCGTTTAAACCGAACAATTTGCCGATTATTAGCTAGAGTCAATTGAGTTTCACTCAAAAACTCTACCATCGTTTTTTTTTTCGTTTCTTGTTTATATTCGTTTATTTTAGAAATTATTTTATTGTAACATATATCTAGGGTATAAATAAACCGGACAAGATTACATTTTGTATGAGATCGAACCGAAAAAACCGGTTTGGTTTATGTGGCCTGGTCGGTTTCGGTAAACCGGAACAACAAGAGGAAAAGAGCACAACACGTCAGCCAAGATACTTTGGCGGTTGAAATCAAAACTTCGTCTTCCTCGCTGTCTCAGCCTCACGTTATTCTCTCCCTTCAGATATACACAGGCACAGAGAGAGCGAGAGAGAGAGAGAGAGGGAGAGAGAGAGAGAGGGAGAGAGAGAATGGGAACCATATCGGCAGCTCCCGGAGCTACTGTCTTCATCGGCCATCTCCGCCGCCGCAGCTGCCTGGGTCTGTGCGATCGCCATCGCGAGAGTATGCCGGCGGTTTCCTCTTTACAACTGCCGTGGCCGACGCGTCGGAGGTGGCTCTACGTACCGGATAAGAGGTTGAAAAGAGAGCTTCTGAGGCTAGAGTTCGTCGCCGGAGCGGCCGATTCGACGAGCTCTTCTCCTTCAGTGGCTGCTGGAGATAAAACCCTAATTCCCGATGACGAATTTTCTATCGCTAAGGTACTTTATTTTTCCATTTTTCACTGATTTTGGTTCATTCTTCTGATTTAGTCAATATTTTGGAGCAGGCGATGTAGAATTGTGAGGTCTGTCCTCTGAGAGAAACTATCATCTTTGATTTTATCAAGTATGTGAGATTGATGACATCGGCAGCCCCCGGAGCTACTGTCTTCATCGGCCATCTCCGCCGCCGCAGCTGCCTGGGTCTGTGCGATCGCCATCGCGAGAGTATGCCGGCGGTTTCCTCTTTACAACTGCCGTGGCCGACGCGTCGGAGGTGGCTCTACGTACCGGATAAGAGGTTGAAAAGAGAGCTTCTGAGGCTAGAGTTCGTCGCCGGAGCGGCCGATTCGACGAGCTCTTCTCCTTCAGTGGCTGCTGGAGATAAAACCCTAATTCCCGATGACGAATTTTCTATCGCTAAGGTACTTTATTTTTCCATTTTTCACTGATTTTGGTTCATTCTTCTGATTTAGTCAATATTTTGGAGCAGGCGATGTAGAATTGTGAGGTCTGTCCTCTGAGAGAAACTATCATCTTTGATTTTATCAAGTATGTGAGATTGATGACGAAATCATGGTCTCCCTGGTTCACAGAAACAACAATCAGATGCTCTTAGAATTTAATTTCTTGGCGTTTATAGCAAATGCATATATATATATATATAGGTATATAGATTGTGCCGTTTGAACATCTAAACTAGGAAAGCTTTTGAATTTCATATTGATGAAAAATCGATATACCTCGGCTTCTAGGTTTGGAAAATATCGTGGAATCTGATGAATTGCAAATGATTGTGGAAGTGAAAATGCCATCTCTCTGTTTATTTGCAGGTCTCATTTGGTGTGATTGGGCTAGGGCTCGGGGTTTCGCTCCTTTCGTAAGTTATTATTTAATTTATCCGTGCCATTCTTGATACGAACCCTAGCATGGATTGAAACTCCTCGGCACGTGATCTCGCGCGTCATTGGACCGTTGGAACTTGAATCTTTGATCCACAACTTTGTTTCCTAGCTTTTTCCTTGATTCGATCTTCATCGATTCTCTTTCTTCGTTGTGATCGTGTTTTCCTTTAATGGCGGATTTGCGAAAATGTGCAGATATGGTTTTGGGGCCTATTTCAATATCCTTCCAGGATCTGAATGGTCTGCATTGATGCTTACATATGGCTTTCCCCTCGCCATTATCGGTATGGCTCTCAAGGTATGAACTTTCCGATCAGAAACTTGAAATTCTAGTCATTTCATCACACTCTTGTTCTTGAAGTTTGACATTGTCACATTGTTGATTTTTTTTCCTGTTGGGGTTGATGGAGGAACAATGAATTGTTCTGATCATTAATCATTGGTTTCGGTTTCATTGCAGTATGCAGAACTCAAACCAGTTCCATGCTTGAGCTATTCAGATGCTGTAAAGCTAAGGGAAAGATACGCAACTTCGATCTTAAAACAGGTTCTAACTAGTTCTGGTTTCTAGAAACTCGGCAAGTTGAGTGTTCATTGTTGTGGACAGTGTGGCCATTAGTTATATGTAATAGAACCACCCCGGTCTAAGAAAACCAGTTTGTTTATGTTGACTCGATGTTCAAAAATGTTCTTCTTCTTCGTCTTCTTCCTCCTCGTGCTCTCTGTCCTGCGAATCCAACTAGTTCTTCTACTGTCCTTTACTAGGTCAGGAGTGATGTTACAAGATACCGTTATGGAGACGAGCAACATCTAGACGAAGCCCTAAAACGAATTTTTCAATACGGTTTGGTAAGGTTTCTTAAGCGAGTTCATAAAATATTACATGTTTTTACGTTCGATTTAACGCTAACTCAAAGTCGTGGCAACAGGGTGGAGGAATCCCCCGGCGAAATGCACCTATCTTACAAATGATCAAGGAAGAGGTATGCTTCATTCATGTGCATGTTGACATCAATATGTGAGTGAAATATCATCGGATATCATACCCTAAACCTTCATTTTCGATGACATATCATATCTCGCAGGTCACGCCCGATGGTAAGTACTGCCTTGTCCTCATATTCGAGGCCAAGGCTCTCAAGCTGTCAGATTTCGAGCAACGTCAGGTAAAAGAAAGACGGATCATAAACTTCGAAACGATTCATCTTCTCATTTTGTCAGCCTATATGCCTCGGGAAATATGTCGAAACATAGTATAATTTCTCGATTTCGTCAAGTTTTCCATGAACTAATAAGCTGAAACTGATACATAAAGTTGGATATCTCGTTGTATAGGCGAAATTTGCTTCCTTCTTTGGACCGGATATCGCAGCAGAAGTCGGTGAGTTGTTCATCATAAACCCGAGTTTTCTCGTTTTTTTTTTAAAACCCGGACTCGAGCTTTATTCTGAGCTCATAGTGAAATCAATGGTGATATGTTTTTGAAGGTAAAGGAGAAAGTGAGGGTCTCTATGAGGTAAGACTGATATCAAACCTCAACGCCAACCCTCCATCTTCTTCCTCTTGAACGGCGTCGTTTTAAGGTCTTTTTTATTTTTTAAGATTTTGTTCTATGTTTCATCATTATGTACATAATATAATATTGATTTTGCTTCACTGTAACCTACATACATACATACATACGCCATAATTGCTTTTCTTTTTTTTTTTTTGTTTTTTTTAATACCCGGAATTACTCTCTGTAAATGCAAAATTTACCTGTTTAGCATATTTTATTAGCATAAACAAACATCAACTTGGATGGTATATCATATATATATATATATATATGTGTGTGTTCGTATATATATAATATATTCGTCAAATACCACGAGCTAAATTCTTTTATAAAATATATATCAAACACGAACATGTGTCCAACGTCTACTTACAAAGGGGCAAAAGACAATGCCGTTCACGGGATCACATGTCGACCTGTCTTCCGCCGTACATTCCATTTTCCATAGGTTATATTTGTTTTCAATTAAATTAAACCATTATTTGTTTAACAATCAATCATAAAAAAAATATTAACATTATTTTATGCAAGTTTTTAATTCCCTTTCAGTATCAGAAATAAATGCAACAAATGAAGTGAGAGGAGACAAAAGGGCTTTCGGATGCTTCTGTTTGGTTTTTTTTTTGGGGGGTTTTCATTTATTTGTAAGTTATAAATCATAAATATAAATTATGATAATATATATATATATATATCCAAAAAAATCACATTATATATAAAATCAAATAATGTAATTAATTTGAGGACCATAAACATCCAATGAAAATGTGCCACGTTATGAAAGTGGGAACGGACAAAAGTGTACTTAGTGGAGAGAGGACTCTTTTTCACTGGTCTTAGCCCACGCGCACGGCCCAATGGTTCTGGGCCCACCAAAATATATTTTGATTTATATATATAATATTCCGATCTTTTTATTTAATTTATTTTTCATTTTGAATTATTTTTTTATTAAAATAAATATATTTTAAATAAAAATCAGTTTTATTTCGATTTTTATTTATTATTTAATTTGACTATATATGTGTTCGTTGGAATTTATTACAATATATAATATCAATTAAAATATGTTTCAAATTTTGTGGGAAAAACTAGTAGAAGAAGATGAGGGCAATTGATGCGTCACATGAAGAGAAGAGAGAGAGAGAGAGAGAGAGAGAGTAAAGAGATAACATAGAGACAGGAAAAGACGACGGTAATTACTCTCCTCGGGTGCGTAATTGGAGGAGGCATCTTTAATTTTATTTTCTTTAAAAACAACAACAACAAATAATAATAATAATAATAATAACAGATGAGTCATATTTTTTTTTCAAGATTTAATGCCATTTTCTCGTTCATATTTTGAATTTTCTTGTATTTTTTTAGGTATAATACAGTAAATTACTAAATTGCAGCTTTCACTTCTATATGAGAATCATTGTATCCTTATTTTTTTTATAATATAATTGTGTAAAACATAAATCTATTTTTGACTTAACTTCTTTCCGAGTGGTGGTTTTCCGACAATGACAACCACATGCCAGCGAACATAGGTCTACAGATTTGATTAAAAATAGAATAAAATAAAGTTTTTGAACTGCAGGCACATAGAGTTATATGATTAAAGTATTTATTTATTTATTTATTTTATAAATCAATTATTTGCTCGATAATATTTTAATTGTTTTTGTTGGGGTGAAGCATTAATGATACCAATAATCTATCCACGCTCGTGGTGAGCGGTAAAGGTCGCTGAGTTTTTTTGGTACAGACATATCTCATCTTCCACGTGATTATATATATATATATATTTTTTTTTATAATCCGGAAGTTCACCAGGCCTTTGACCCAACTATATCTTCCACGTGATTATTACTTTGTTCAATTAATGTTTTGTATATTCTTTTTAGCTATAAATTGTTATGATTTTGATTCCAATATATTTTTCAGTCTCTTTCCACATCTATGCACATGCTTCTTCAAGGGAATACCCTTTTGGATAAATTTGCAATTGAGGAGCAGTTTAAGGCATTGAAAACTTTGCAGTCTTTTTCATGTAAACGAAATTGCGAGTCCGTTTTCACATGGGTTCGTTCCATGTGTTTTAAGGGGTACAAAACCGGAATATAATATTTATTTTTGGGATTTATAAAAATTTATGGACCATGGCAATATATACAAATAATTTGGACATCAATGTATATGGACCATAGACAACAATTTACATACTGTAGTAAGATATCATAATGTTGTGAACTCTGGTTACAACACATTAGATTTTCTTTCCAACTAAATAATTATATATTAAGATGATGCATAAACTCTAAGATCGATGTTGTCTTTAAAAGATTTTAAATTCCTGATTTTTTTTGTACTTTTTTCCCAAAAACACTTTTGATAATCTTCTTTCTTTTATCCACAAGATGATTTGCAATTTGCATCAGCTCATCTAAAAACTTTACTATATATATATATACCAATCCTGTTTTTATTGGGAAACCAAATATGGAATTTGAAGGTAAATAACTTCAAATTTTGGAAAATAAATCGCTTTTACGCTTCATTCAAATTGTTTATTGTTAATTGATTTTATATTTTGTAAATGATTAACTATAGATGAAAGGCTTTCGGTAGTGCGTGGTTATCGTATTAAAAATAAAATATTTAAAATATTTTTGAAGATAATTGTTTGGTATTTCTCCACTAAAACGTTAAAAGAGCACACTCTGTAATCAAATCGTACGGACGGCCGATTCAGAAAACACTCACGTCAGTTTCCCAAACCCTAATCGGATAATATTTCATATCTCATTATTTTATTTTATTTTATTATTGAGTCAAACTTTTCACCTGCCCGGCTCGGGATATATTTATAACCATTGCGTAAAAATAATATACCCATAAGACAAAAGAAAAACATGAACCCCCCATGAAATTTCTTCCGACAAGAAAACTCTGAAACTATGAATGTGTTAGATCTTGAGTCTGTAACCCACTAAAGAAGAGAAGCCCTAGATTCGTGAACGGATACGAAGCTATGCGCGTATATATACGTACACATATGTATACATATGTGATACGTGTACATAGATACACATGTACGTATACCTGTATATATAGATATACATATGTAGACAGACGTGTATATGTAGATACACACGCACACTCACTCACTCACTATTCTTCATTAGAGCAGCTCTAAGCCAGAGCTTGTGCCTGGAAATTGACCCTGTAAATACTGCATTTCGAGCCCTAACCCTTTAATCTAGAGAGAGAGAGAGAGAGGGAATTAAGAGAGTTTTGGAAAACGTGGGGGAATTATGGAGGAGACCCACCAATTCAAGCAGATCTTGATTTACTTCAACACCTTAATTAAGAGAAACAAAATCATGTGCCCATCGTGCCATTAAGCAGTTTTGGTTATTTATCTCCACCCACCTCTCTTTCTCCATCCCTCTCTCTCTCTCTCATCAAACTCCATAACTTTTTCTTGGAAGAAGGTTATAAATGGATGAGGGTTAGGCATCTAAAAGTTCAAAAAAAGAAAAAAAACGAGAAGATCAGAATGTACTCTACACTCTTTTTTCCTTCTCGGTTCTAAGTGTCTTTTTCTTTTCTGCTTCTCTTTTTGATTATTCTGAATTTAGGGTTCTTTTGTGTGTTTCTGAATTTGAAGAAAGTTGTATGATTTGGTCATGTTTTCTTCCAATGATGATACCAATAATAACAATGGAGTGTACCCTCTTGCTCTTTACCTTTCTTCTCTCTGTAGCCATGACAACAACATGTCATCAGCATCTTACAATCATCATCAACATCACCAACTTCAGCAACATCATAATCAGCTAAATCTCCATCCAAATGATCATCTCATGGCTGCTCCTCAGAATCACCAGTTCAGTTCTCCATCCATGCCCGAGTCTCTGATCAATTACATGCCGTTTTTGTCGAACAACGTCATGATGGACCAGAATCTGGTGAACGGTGGATGCTCTGATAGGGTTGAGGCTCTGAGGGGGATCAAGAAGCCGGAGAAGAAAGACCGGCACAGCAAGATTCACACGGCACAAGGGCTTAGAGACAGGAGAGTGAGGCTCTCCATCGGCATTGCTCGCCAGTTCTTCGATCTGCAGGACATGTTGGGGTTCGACAAAGCGAGCAAGACGCTCGACTGGCTGCTCAAGAAGTCGAGAAAGGCAATTAGAAAGGTCACTCAAGCAAAGAAGCTCAACAACGGCGACTTCAGCAGCGCCAACATTGAAGATGAGTGGTCTGGAAACAATATTGGTGATGAAGAAGAAGGCGAAGAAGAGGATGAGGAGGAGGAGGAAGAGGACGATGATGAAGACAAGAGCTTTGTATCGGGTTCAAGCTCCGAGGGCTGTGAAGAAATGGTCTACGAGGCCAAGAAGCGAGATCAGATTGATGGTTTTGTGCAAAGAGAGAAGAAGAATAATGAGTTGAGCCACATTTCGTCAAAGGGGTCAAGAGGTAAAGCAAGAGAAGGGGGAAAGGAGAGAGCAAGAGACAAAACCGGAAGTAGAAACACCGATCTGCCCCAAATCTATCAGATCTCACAGTCTCAAGTACTGTTGGACTCAATGAGATCTACAACTCTTAATGTAGGAAAAGCCAAAATGCCATCAAGTGTTCACTGCCAAGACATGACTTCTTTCTATGAGCAACCGATCGAAGAGGCTGGTAGGTTCCAGGGACTGTACTTAGCCAATCAAGAATCTAATAGCTTCATCACGAGGAAGACCAAACCGTCGGCTTTAAGTTATGGCCAACAAAATGGAGGAGTTATGTCGGAGAATCAGAGTTCTACCAGCGACAACATCACCATTTTGCCTCAAAATTGGGAGAATTATGACCAGAACCCTTTTCTCGATGCACCCTTTGGTGTATTCTTCAACATGAATGCGTCCACAAGTAAAGAATTTGGCTCAAATTCGTGTACTATTCTTTTATAAATCCTAATTCTTCATGGTTCTTCATTTGGTGATTTATTCATCAATCTCCTGAATTTTCTTGCAGGGCTCCAGTAAATGGTGATATACAACCAAGAGGACGACTATGGAAGTGGCATCGAATTAAGGCATGTAAGCGGAAAAACTCTCGGATCCTTTTTATGTGAGTGTATATTAGAACTCATATTCCATATAATGTTTATCTTGATCTTGAGTGCAAGTATTATCTGAAGTTAGATGAACGACCCTTAATTAGTATGAAATGTTTTTAGGTGCAATAAGCTATATATATATATATATATATATATGTGTGTGTTTGTGTGTGCAAACCTTTAAATTAAGCATTTTGAAGATGAAACAACTCATCATGATTATCTAATTGTTTAGGGTTTTAGGGTGCTAACGTTTCTTATGAACAGAATTTCTTACTATCACCCCTTTGCATTAAGCACAAATCCTGTAGGGGGCTTATTAGGGTTTTGACAAACCCTAAATTGCCTCTTAAGACCGACAAGAGCAAACAGGTTTTTGTTGCAATATTGATTGAAAAACAAAATCTGTTGTGGAGATGTGTATCTTCCATTTTGACAGTGTAGTTCTCTTGCTCGAAGGTTTAGTTTTACTTGGGTATATATTTATATTAGTATGTTAATTTAGGGTTTATATATATGGAGTCTGGTTAATGGGTGAAGAAACGATTGATCAATTTGTTTCTGATACATCTTTGAAGGGTCAAAAAACATCTAAGGCAGAAGTTGGTTTGGATCTAGATCAATGCAAATCAATTGGTCTAATCCAAACTAAACCAAACCGAACTAACCAAACCCGAATAATTACAAAAAAACAAACAAACAAACCCAAATCCAAAATTCATCTGATGTAAATAAATCCTATTACTAAACTGAACCAAAATCAGATATCTAACAAAGTTCGGATTCAGTCCAAACTCCGACCAAACCCAAAAATAAATCATCCCCAATTTGCCCCACCAACAATTTGAATGGCAGGAATTTTGGCATAACAAATCAGTGGTTTTAGAAAATAAACTAAACTTAACATACTGATACTAAAACTCGGACTGAACTTCATCGAATTGTGGTTCTTAGATTGGTTTAAATTACATTTTCTTAAAGAGAATGGCTCGACTTATATATTATAACCAGAATCGCTAGATTTATAACTATTTTCTGTGCATGTCTGCCATGTATTACACATTTATTATCTTCTCAAGCATTGATGAATAAACTCTAAATTTCCAGCCAATCACTCATCCCTTGTAGTTTTCTGCTATCTCCTTCTTAAAATGTTGGTGATATATAATGTATCAGAAGACAACCAAGAAAAATTTCATGCATGAAACATATAAATGTATTGAAATTCATCATTTCATTCAATACTTTGATTTTCTTTCGGATCATATAATTTTATATATGATCAATTTCTAATTCCGAGTAATTTTGTAATAATTATTAGAAATCGTTCACTACTGTGGGAAAATCTGCCTAAACTTCATGTATTCAAGAAGCCATTGATGAAAATGGGTTAGAAAATGCTTTTACATGATTGTGTATATACAAGTTTTTGGTACCAACTACTAGTTAACAAGGACGAAAAATAGAAATATAATTGTTGGAATTGAAGTGTGATAAAGTTTGAATTTTGATATAAAATCTGACTGATGAGTATGGAATCTTAAGGTTGAATTAAATACCCTAATAAGAACACATCATTATGGGTGACCATTTCACGTTTCGGTTCGGTTATTTTGGTTATAGAAAAATTATGACCATTCAGTTTTTATATAAACTTCAGTTTGTTTCGGTTATTTTTTCAGTTCAATTTGGTTCGATTTCGATAAAAAAAATCATTTTTTCAAAGAATTTATCGGTTATTTTTTTAATTAGTTTGGTTCGATTTCAGTTTTTCGGTTTTATGCCGAGTTAGGTTCGGATATGGTTATATCTTATTCGGTTTGCTTCGGTTCGACTATTCGGTTAATAGCCGAATTGCCACCCCTACACATCATAGCGCGCATAATTTAGAGCTAATATGTAGTTGGATAGTAGTAACAATACGCTAGCTATCACCTATGCATATATGTGATTTTATTTACACATTTAGGCTACGAGAAAACCTAGAAATTCCTATGCCATGGTACATAATGGATAAGCAGCTTTACCACAACAGACCAAAGTAATTAAATATGTTAGCTTTAGATATGGTTTTTGTTTGGACATAAGATCATGTTTTGTCCCCCCGTCATATCACAATGTATTTTTAAGATCAAATAAATTTAATATGTGTTTACATATAACATCATATAATTTAATATTATTTTTAGCATTTGACGGATTATAAACGGCATCGATATAATTTACACTATTCAAAATCTAACCAAATGTTGTGCCAAATACTCTCATTCAACACAACAAATCCAGACAAACTCTTCAAAATTTTCAACATTTCCCGTACAGGAAGCAAATACTATACGATGATTGTCTCTTCTAAATAAGATTAGGTAAACTTTTATTTACTGTCTATTGTCCCACATTTTGTAGGTTGCGTGATTTACTTATGTCGGTAATTAATGAATATGTGGTTAAAACTTATAGATCTTCCAAGATAGTTTACCCACCAACAAAAACAAAAACAAAAAACTGATGAGAAAAAAAAAGATAGAACAAAGACGCTTTGTCCTATCTTAGGGCGTACATGAATCATAACCCTAAAAAAATGAATCAGTGGTTTTTCGCACTGAAAACTAAAAGATTCATGAGAGGAATCCAAGCAAAAAAAAAATATTAGAACATAAAAATATATGTTTTCTATTTGAGTGTTTTTTAATGTATTATTCAGACAAAAAAAAATAAAAAAAATCAAGAGAGAAATGGTTCTGTGTGTGAGAGGTGGAGATAGATAGACAGATAGAGAGTACCTTTGAACAGTTCTTTATCGTTGCTTCCAAACAGTAATCCCTACAGAAGCAGTCGAAGGAGAGATTAACAACATCTTTCATCTCGAATATATATATACACATATACACACACACACACATATATATATATATATGTATATATAACACCAAAGAGAGAGAGTACAAGGACAAGGGCAAAAGGAAAACAAGAGAGTAGAAGAAAATGGCTTTGGGGGGTAAGTGAAGTAACTTGGACCGAAATAGTCCACAATGACGATAATTTGGAATTTTATATAATTATTTTGCCCTTATTTTGTCTTTTACACGGTTTATTATCTATTATATATATATATATATATATATATATATATATATAACTCTATCTT